GTAAACTGTGGTCAATGACATGAGACAAAGTATATGTGAACTGTTGTATGGAAAGTGAATTTGCTCTGTAAATCTTCACCCAAATCACAATTAAAAGAAAAAAAAGAAGAATGTAGAATCTGCAAACCACCACATAACGTGAATGAACTTGGAGGACACTGGTGAGTGAAATAAGTCAATCACAGAATCACAAATATAGTATTAGTTCATTATTGTAAAAAGTCAAGAAAGGATTATGTATGGAAGGAAACTTTCTTTGTTGGTTACCAGGGGTGGGAGGGTAGGGAAGACAGGAAAAAAAAAAAAAGCACTGACCCATGTCACTTTAGTTTTATTTCACTATATACAAATATTTCAATAAAACGTATTTAAAAAAGAAAAAAAAAACCTTCTGGTTACATTTTCATTTTATTTGCTTACTTGCCTAACTGACCCTTTAACTGTGAACCCTTCAGAGAGGGGACCAAGTCTTTTCATCTTCTTCATTCCCAGTACTTAATGGGGTGCCTGCCAAAGAGTAAGTGTTCAACTAGTATTTATTGAATAAATTAACCCTTTCCTACCAATGGACTCCAGTGAAGAAGCTACTCCAATATATAACAAAATATTTGAGAGAAGTATGATGTTTGAAATTTACTTAAAAATAAATAGGGGTAAATGGGTCAGTGGGAAGTATAGGAGTACATGGGGGTTTATTTGACTTGTCTCTTTCTCTACTTTTGTATATGTTTGAATTTTCCCATGGGGAAGGGATAATCTCCATTTCTAACTCTTCTCCCTACCAGCTCTGATATGTTTATCAAATACTCCACTCTGTAACAGAGAGAAAACATATTTATTATGTTCCTTCCTACAAAGCAAAGTAGGTGTTATTATGGTGATCCCTATAAAACAGTGGATGTCAAATGTCAGATTTGAAACAAGCAGCTTAAGACTCATAAACAAATATCTACAAAATTGCACTATGGTCTGCTAAATGCAATACATTTCACTGTTTCTAACAGTGTTTTGATTACCTAGTGCTGCTCTCTGACAGGAATATACCATAAATGGGATGGCTTTAACAAACAGGAGTTTATTCTCTTACGGTTTGGAGGCTTTAAGTCCAAGTTCAAAGTGCCAGGCTCTAGGGGCTGGGTGAAAGCCCCTAAACCTTGGCCTTCAGCTCTGCCTCCTGCTCCCGGCCCACTGAAGCTGAAGGCTTTTCCTCACTTAGACAGCTGCTGGCTGCTGAGGCTGACAAACCCAAAGTCAACAAGTACAAAGGCACAGTCCCAATATCACCAAACAATACAGCAGGCCACTAATTCAAGACCAGAAGAGGCCCCAAGATTGGCAGGGCATGGCAAGCTGCTGAACAACATCTTGGCTACATGCAGCGTTCAAGCATTTGAAAAAGCTGGAGACCTTCCTCAAAGCTGCTGCTTATATACCTGAAGCAGCCCACATCCCTAAAGCAGCTACTCAGCTGCTCCAGTAGATTCTGTTATGGAGTTGATTGCCAGTCTCACCCTGGGGAATAACTACATCCAGCTGCCCAGCCACTCAACCAGGCCCAGCCAAGTTGACAACAACCTTGTTGTTTGTTGTTGTTGTTGTTTGCTATCGAGTCGGCCCTGACTCATAGCGACCCCTCCTTGGGTTTCCAAGGCAGCACCACTACGGAAGTAGATTGTCCAACCTTCCTTCCAAGGAGTGACTGGTGGGTTTGAACCGCCAGCCTTCTGGTTAGCAGTCAAGTGCCTTAGCCACTACGCTACCAGAGCTCCTGACAACAACCTTAACTACCACAAATAAAGAAAAATTTTGTTTCATCTTCTAATTGCACGTAAAGATTTAAAAGTTAAGTGGTGTTTAAAATATACAAATAGTTTCATGGTAAGGACAAAAGTGTGCTTTTCATATGCAAATATTAAAAATATGTTAATTCAAAGTAGTATATTAACTCAAAGAAATGCTGCTAGACTCAGTATTTGCTATTCAGAAATTCTATGACAGAAGAAATTTATCTTCTGATTTAAATTTAAATTTATCTTCTGATTTAAATACAAATTGCCTAGGCAAATGGATGGCAGTATAGAGAGAACAGGGGGATGAGGTTGTTAATAATTACTATGTTAATACTGCAGTAAGATTATATGAGTTCTCCCGACTAGAGGATAGCAAGCGATACTTACATATAAAGACCAAATCTCCCCTAAATACTCAGAATGACTCAGAAACAGCTATATCAAACACCTCCTTGAGTTGAGACCTCCTTGTAGGCTTACCTCTTCTGATCCCTCTTGGATGGGATAATAGGTAAAATAACTACCAAAATAAGTTCCTTCTGATTTGAAAACAGATCCATCTCCAGGATAAATCTCTATTGAGTTCACATTTTTATGGGTAAGTCTAAGGGAGAAAAACAGTAAAATAAATTATTTTTTACATTAAAATATACATGAAGGCAATCATTTAAAAAAAAAAAAAAAGGGCAAAGAAATATGTTGATACGCTTATCCAGAGCAGATAGTCTCATACTCTGCAACCCAATCAGCTAAGTTAACTTTCTGTCAAAAGATAAACAGAATACACAGACTCATTATGTATATATTTCAGCAATTAAGCTCCAAGCTTCTGGAAGTTATACATCTTGTCTTATCATCTTGGTATCCCAACTAAAATGACAGTGGCTGACACATAATAGTTACCAAAGCAATGTGTACTGTATAGGGGTTAAATAATATTGTTCTTTGAGCACGAAATAGAATCAATATTTTATAGAAGAGATTAGTCATCTGTATAAGGAGCCATCCCCTAAAAAGTGAACTGATTGACCTGGAACAACCAGATACAATCAAGGTATTGGATATATGTTGTTGTTGTTGTTACGTGCTGTCAAGTCGGACCCGACTCATAGCGACCCCTCCTTGGGTTTCTGAGGCAGTATCACTACAGAAGTAG